AGATCCTCACCACTGACCCCGTCTGCTACCTACTAGCTTGCTGGGAGACTGGTAGTATCCTCCTCACCACTGACCCCGTCTGCTACCGTCTTCACCCTAATAGAACGCACGGTCATTATAGCCGTATCTGGTGTAACTTTCAGTCCGGATAAAGTAATAATGACTGGGCGCTCGATTCGGGTGAAGACAATAGCCAGCTACGAGACTGGCAGCATTCTCCTATGCCTGGTTAATCAGGTGCCTGGCTGTCAGTGTCCAGGAGGGTGTTAATTACCCCCTAGACTCTTTAAAGGGGACAATCAAAGGCTGACAGGCTAACAATAATAGGAATGATCAGGAGCTTTACATGATAAGCAGGCTGGCAGGCAGGCAAGGCCTGCTAGCCTGCCAGGAGACTGGTTGCACCCTCCTCTGACAGGTTGTGTGGAGTCCATGCTATCCAGTGACTACATTCAGCTCACTCTGACTGTCAAAGCTTGGCAGCATACTCCCATCAGAGTGGCACTATCTCTCATGAATGGCGTTTACATACGTGCAAAGTGCCCGGGATTACGCAATCACAGGATCAGCCTTCCCCCCCTTTTTTCCCTTTTTAAAATAATGGCCCCAGCGCCCAAGGCTGATCCTGTTCCATCCTTATGCAAAACAACTTGGCTCGTCCAGAGTCATCACAATCTCTAATTAATAACTAATCCAGCCATCGCTAGATTGCTCACTTTGCTTCACCACAGCATGAGGCTTTAGGGTGGTACAGCTTCCATGTTGCCTAAGGTTATGCAAGGATATAGCTACTCAGCGCTATACCATCGCCATAGCTATGGGTAGAGCTATAGATGTGGCTCTACAGTACTATGGCTACCGCCTTAACAGTAGGCTGGTGTTCATCACTGAGTTAATGTTGCCTCAGGTAATGGAAAGCTATAGCTATACAGCAGCACTATACCATCACCGTAGCTATTGGCAGAGCTATAGTTTTGGCTCTACAATACTATCGCTATGGCCTTAGCATGGTTGGCTGCTAAGTCTACAATACTCCGGTGCTCGTCGCCAAGTTTGGGTAGACTAATGTCAGGCTATAGCTATACAGCACTATACCATCACCATAGCTATGGGTAGAGCTATACTTATGGCTCTACAGTACTATCGCTATGGCCTGAAAATGGTTGGCTGCCAACTCTCCATAACTCCGGGCTTCCTCACCGAGTTAATGGAGCCCGCCCGAGGTAGTGCAAAGCTATAGCTATACAACGCTATACCATCACCATACATATGGGTATAGCTAAAGTTATGGCTATTAAATACTATCCCTACATGGTTGGCTGCCAAATCTTCCTAACTCAGTGTTCATAAGAATCATAACCAAATTAAAAATAATAATAATAATAATAATTATTATTATTATTATAATAAAATCATAACCAAATTAGTACCAACTTTTATCTCATAATAGGCTATAGCATGAAGCTCCAGAGAACTATATATTGATTGACACACACCGATGATAAGCACTGGTACGGACACAACTGCATGGTGCAGCATTGGTGCTATACCATTGGTGCACTTAAAACCACCAGTACTTGGCCCAGCTATCAGCCGTGGGATAAAATAGAATAGAAACGGTTCTAGTCGGATGAATTTGGGCGCTCCTGTAGTGGGCCGTACGTTTCCTAAAATTGTGGCTTGTTAACAGGCACGACTTTAGAGAGTACTGGTGGTTTAAGACATGGTTTGCAGCTAAGCTCCATGGTCAAACTTGGAAAGAAGATATAAAGAGGGAAATAGCCAATAGCCAATAGCCAATAGCCATACTGTCGTATGAAGCTATGGTTATGTGCGTCCTTCCGTATCTGTGAGCCTCTCTAGCTATAGAGTCACTATAGTATAACCCGATCGAGGATGCTATGTTCGTCCTTTGGTATCAATGAGGCTCTCTAGCTATAGAATCACTATACTAGAACCCAAAAGAAGATAGCCGCCAAACACTTCATGCTATTTGTATAATAGCCCAGAAATCCTCCAAAACAGGAAGTTTGCGATAAGAGCTATTCCTTGAGGAGAATATGGCTATGAGTGTATAGCAACACACTGCTCGGGGGATTGACTGATTGGCTGATGGATGTAATTTTTGCATGATCGGAAAAAAAAAAAGAAAAAAGATCCAATATAGCAAGATGTTATAGGGATGTATAGCAAGTATAGCAAGATGCTATAGCAGCATTATAGCTCCCCAATGGAAAATATGACTATGCATTGGGTGAATAGCAAGAGGGGTATTGTGGGATGCTATGGAGGTGTATAACAATACGCTATAGGGGTGTATAGCATATATAGCAAGATGCTATATAGCTCCGATGGGACAGAAAGCCGAAGCTCATAGTGACCACCACTGCTGTATGCAAGTAGGACTGTGGTGTCAATGCTCCATGACTCATCCCTGCATGGACGCGTAAATAGAGTCAAGCAGCTCCCGACTTCCCGTAAATAGAATGCCAGGTCATCATATTGCCATAGAGTCCAATTCTCAGGTCGGCTACAGAAATATTATACCCACAAAAGGGCCTCAATCTATTTGAGGGAGAGGGAAGTCGGCTGATGGTTTTGAAGCACAGGATGGACTGGCAGAGGCCATTAGATATATGGAATGACACGGGGATCGGTGAACCGTGTACTGGATGCAGGAGGCAGGTTTCCTGTCCGACAAGGAGGCTCCGACCACCACCATGGATTGGATGCCAAGGGGCCTCTAGAGCAGGATAGAGGAGGAGGATGGGTGTCGGACGGACAAGATGGACGCTGAGAACGGGAATGCCCAAGGAGGTGCTGAGTGAAGTGGTGTTCTAGGAGAATGGGCCAGCAGAAAGGGAGGACAACTCTTGCAAATACGAGGAGGTAATGAAAGGGAGGCCTACCGTCTTCACCCACCCGAATAGAACGTACGGTCATTATTGCTGTATCTGGAGTGAAAGTCGCCCCAATCACAGCCATAGTACCCATACTACGTTCTATTTTCGGGGGAAGGCGGTAATGACAGACGAGGGGCAGTCCAGAGAAGAGGGCACGGGAGGAAGCATGGGCTGCCAACTACTCGGGTGGGCGACAGGGCCCGGGAAACATAGGGGAGGACCCTTAGGAGAATACTAGAATAGTCAAGAGAGGAATTCTTGTTCGGGCAGACGATGGGGTAGAGTGGGAGAGGGTCTGCAAGGAACAGGCCAGGTGCAAGGAATCCAAGGACATGATGTGGCACAGATACCATTGTGAGGAGGTTGGGGGGAAAACTTAGAGAGTCAGCTCATCAGGATAGCAACGGACTGTACGCTATGTCTGGCGTGAAGTGTGACCCTCTGGCTGAGTGTGCCCTTTACTGCAATGATCCTCACACAACTAAGTGTTCATGGACCTTGATAAGGGAGGCATTCGGCAGAGATTCGGACACGCCTTCTCCCAAATCGAAACTATAAGCATAGTTAAGTGCACGGTGACGCTGGCCCAGTCTGATCCTCTGGCTGAGAGTAATCTTTACCACGACCATTATGATCCTTGTACAAAAAAGGGTTTCATGGTGCATGATCGGGAGGCATTCAGCAGCTTCAGACAGGCCTTTTCCCATGTAGAAAGCATGGGCATCCGTGAAGTGCCTGACAGGAAACCTCCCCCCAGTTCACTCAGGACGCCCATACTGCGTTATGAAAAGTGGCAGTATTAGACCTGATTCATCACCGAGTTGCTTCATACAAAGCCGGGTGGGTGCCTATCGTGACTCTCACGAACACAAACTACCTCCTTGTCACAACCAGAACTAGGAGAAAAGGATGAAATGTGGGAAGACGGGCAAGGGGGACCACGTGGACGGAGCCTACTCAATCCCAACTCATTTCATCCTGCATGATACCGCGGATTGAGAAATCGAACGCGATTGCCAGGATGATCAGCATACCACACTTCGTCTAATCAACCTTGGACAGTGACCTAAAGAAGAGAGCAATACTTACATCCACTATCACAAACGTGGCTCAAGCGTAAACCAGGTTTGAACCAGGTTTGAACCAGGTTTGAACCAGGTTTGAACCAGGTTTGAACCAGGTTGGACGCCAGGGGCCTCAGGTGGTTCATCAGAACTCTAATCCCGCCTGTTCATCACAACCGGCGTGCCCTTCACGCTGCTGAAAGGCCTCCACCAAAAAGCCCATACCGAGACCCCCCATATTTTAACCATGTCCGTAATACTGCTCTGAGAGGCCTCCACCAAAATACCCATGCCCAAACCCATCGAAGTCCTAGAAGATGAAATAAAAACTGGAATATACAGAAACATCACCGGCCGCATTGACTGATGTACTAAGCGCAAGATCCCACTAGCAAAGAAGATCAAATCAAGCACCTGAATCTGCACGAGTTTTAAGCGGAGATGCAGAAAAGCAGATAGATAGCCATATTCTGCACCTTTTCCACAAACATATCAAGATTCAGGTGTTTTAATTCAATCCTCTTTGCTAGTGGCTTCTTGCCCTAAGGTCTGCCTGATTGTCTGTGTGCATCATTTCCCTCTCCATGGTCCACCGCACACAGCGGACACGTCTGCCCACACTCTGGGGTGCTCTTTTTTCCCTCCCCCATCCTCACATCCTGACAGGCACTGGACCTATCTTCAAACACCCAAGTTGTGAGCCACATTTATACCCTACTGAAACCTCCGAGCCCAGGTCCTTCAAATGTTCCTGTGGCAATATCTGCGATGGGGGGGGGGGAAGGAGAAGGGGGGGGGAGCTCTAATATTATCTACATAATCTACTGAGCACCACCCCCTTTTCCTCCCATACACCCAACCCCCTAAGTCCCCACGCCTCTTCCCAGGGGCATCTTATCCACCTTCTATGCCGACTATGCCATATCTACTCCAAAAACGTATTCGCACATCTTCCCTGCCAACTTGAGACTTCTTTTCTTTGGGCCAAATTTCAGATTTCCATGTGCCGCCTGTGCCATAGCTACAAGCTTTGTCCTGTCCGATGTCTTCATTGCCTGAGGGTGTCGCCTAGTCAACGATCAACAGTCCAATTCTTGAGTCCCCCTTGAGCTCTTGCTGTTTCGCCGTTGCCGAAGATCCCTTCTCTTTGAAGTCCATGTCGCAATGGTTGGTTTAAAATGTTTAACTGGTTCGAATGGTTTAACTGGTTTAAACCACCAGTACCTATGGCATTCTTAGGCCCCCTCTGATTCGAATGAATTTGGCCCCGTGCGGCAGGCCAATTCGTCCACCGTGTTAACGGCCTTAGAACGTGGAGGCACTGGTGGTTTAACTGGTTCAACTGGTTTGGATGGTTTAACTGGTTTAAACCACAAGTACCTATGGGATTCTTAGGCCCCCTCTGATTCCAATGAATTTGGCCACGCGCGGCAGACAAATTCGTTCACCACGTTAACAGCCTAAGAACGTGGAGGTACTGGTGGTTTAACTGGTTCAACTGGTTTGAATGGTTTAACTGCTCATGGGGGCGGGGAAACCACGAGGAATCTTGATAGAATCTTCCAACAGGTTCTGGCGTCTGATGTCTGATGTCAGAAAGCGGTCGCTCAGTTTCTGACGTCGGATGATCTTCAGATGTGGGCATGGTTGGGGCCAGACGTTAGACGCAAATCCGGAGACATCTGAACAGACAAAACTACTACGCTTTTTCTTCCACAACGGCCTGTTTTTAACCTCTAGAATGACATCTATCATCACTATACCAGTGAACGGCTTCTCCTTTAGACCCACCAACTTGGCCGCCCTTGTCAGCCATTTGCCATAGACATTCTTGAAAACAACATCCCTTACATCCGGGAGTGCCGCTGTATCGAAATCCCCACTAGGATGGGGGTTCGATGAATAATAGCCATTGATCTCTATTGCCGCTTTCGTCGTATTCTCGATCCAAATGTTTGAGAAAGTGACATTTCGGACATACCCCCCCCGTCCTGCGGCAGTCTTCACGCGAAGAGCATGCTCGCCTCCAAGTACATGGACATCCCTAACTGCAACATTAGACACACCTCCTGACATCTCGCTCCCGATCGAGATCCCATGACTGAAACCTGCACAACAAACACAACCACCAGAAGACCATCCACGGACCCAAGATTAAGGAGACAAAAAACAGAGCATTCTTTTCATTCTCTCTCTCTCTCTCTCTCTCTCTCTCTCTCTCTCTCTCTCTCTCTCTCTCTCTCTCTCTCTCTCTTAACAAGGAAAGGTAATTGTTATTAGCAAAACAATCGTAACAAATCAGAGGCCGGGAATCCTCCACAAACAACCCAGAAATTGTGGCCAAGAGACCGGGACATTTACCCAGCTCAATTTAACTTACGTGTATTTATATTTAGTATACATATCGTCAAACAGAACTGCCCGGTGAACGGTCGGCAGAGAGGGAGAAGTACATAATATGTATGTATTTATTATTATATGACACATACAATCATATATAGTACACAGTGCTACACAATTCCTGCAATAGTCTTTGCCTTGTTGCTAAAGGGCATAGACACATCACCCCTGATAGGCATGTCAAATCATTTAAAAAAAAGAGAAGAAACATCATCTTTTTCAAAACAGAAAAACACCACAGGGAACAGTAAAATGCTGCTAGTTAAAATAAGATCAAGTGGTTAAAAAAAAAAAAAAAGATAAAGGAAAAAGGGCCTTCTTTTTGTTAGACACTGATGGTAAGAAGTACTAAGAACTGTCTGTCTCCCTTTTTTTTTTTTTTTTTTTTTTTTTT